TTCAAACTTTCCAAATGTTCAAACGAAGGATTTCTTGATATTCATTCGTTTGATTCCCGTATTTTTATAATTCATATAATTTTTGTATTAGTTAATTAAGTTAGACCTTTCAAACGGGTGGTGATACATATTTGTCTTACCCAATTCCCTTAATTCAAATTGAATTTGATTTTTAAACAGGTGGCAACCATCCTATAGTTAAGTTAAGAAACAAAGCTTTTTAAAACCATTTCGATTGATACCCGATTTGTAATAATTGATTTATTTTTTTATATAATTTGAACATTTTTAAATAGTTAGATTTTTTTATTCATAAAAGTAAAACCTTATTGCACGTCTGCAGTCCAAGCCTTTTAATCTGGATTTTGGAAAATCGAACGAACGGTACGGATATGAGAGCATTGATTATTATATATTTGGAATTTAATTGTTCAATAGCTGGCAACTCATTTAGAAAAAATAAGGTCAGTTTGCACATCTACAGGCTAAGCGCTTTAATTTGACATCCCATTTTTTTAAATTAAGCGAACGGTGTAGATCTTTTGTCCTGAACAAAAAATCCCTTCGTGTATTATAATTATATATAAAGGAGCCATTCTTTTTTAAGTCGGACGGATTTCGTAAAAAAAATTATGTCATATCTCCGATTCGCTTCAAATTTTTTTTAAATTGGCGTTAAGATGCAGTCTCTGCGATAAGCAGAACCCGAGATATACTGATACCGAGAAGTACATGATTAGTCTGAATCACGAAAAAATTCAAACTTTGACAGATCATATCTCCGAAGAATAAAATAAAAAAAAAAAAATTCCTCGAACACGTGTTAGCTTATTTCATGTACAGAACCCATACAAAAAATTTAAGCCAATCGAAAATGTTACACCAAATTTGGTGTCCGATATGAAAAAGAATGTCTCATAGATATGTTAGCAACAAGTCGCTTTTGGCTGCCAACTGAAAAATGCAAGAAACTGCGAAATTGAACAGAATATTCTAAAGCGGTTAATTTTATATTAAAGTTGAATAAAGGTTGTTCCTCCTAACTAGTTGCGAGTTGAAATATCTTATATTTTTTTGTTAGTCTCCCTTTTTCTACTTTTCTATGTAAGAAATTCGACTAATGAGGTGTCACTTGAAAAGTCAGGGGTCCCCTGAGTGGTTATTAGGTATATTAATGGTCATAACACCTCTGAAGTCAAGAAATTTGTAATTTTATTTTTGTTTTTAATTTACCATTGTTAAGCCACACTAAAGGTATTTTGTACTGAAGCACTATTGTAACTGCAGCATCGCATACACCGTATACGACAGTGGTGGGCGCACACATAATTCAATAATTAAAAGTTCGATAAACTGACAGTTGTCTCTCGCACCGCTCCTTTAGCCGCGGCACCGTGGTGCTTCTTTGCAAATTAAAAAAATTGTAGCTTATGTACTTGTGAAATAGAAGTATACGTTTTTGTACAATATGTTTATTTTTATATTCAAATAAAGCACATTTAACCGATGAAATAAATTACGCAATTCACGTATAATTCTTAATATTTTCGAATAAAAAAAATTTCCATCGATAACTTAAAGTTGTGATACACAATGGATAGAGGCGTTGCCTGTGGGCATTATTTCATATATGTATGTATGTGCCATTTTTACCGTTATATATTTTTTGTCTACTCGGTTATTCCATGGGAAATTCCTGCTTTATTTAAACCTAAAAAATTAAATTACTACACCATTTTAATTAATTAGTGTGTACTCCAGTTTTGTTTTGTAGAGGTTTCGTTAGTATACACTTCAGTTTTTACACATTAGGGGTATTCTCTGAGTCTTGCAAAGCCCTTGCACGGATTGCACGGAAAAAACCGGTTTTCGTATGGGACAGCTTTGCAAACCGTGCACCTTGCAAGGGCTTTGCAAGACTCAGAGAATACCCCTATTGAATATCGGTACATCATTATGTACCGCTAACATCGTTAAACTATTTAGCCGCTCCTTAATTGTATAAAAAGAAGGGACAAATAAGATAGCATATTCAACAATTGAGCAGTCCACTTGCAAAGTGCGCTATGTAAATTTTTTTTTCGATTTTTAGTTTTTGGTGGGTTTCATGTACACAACAGCAGAGTGAAACATTTTTCTATGTTCTGAAAAAAATAGCATGAAATGTTAACTACTCTTGCAAAAGTCGGTATAATACTTATTTATAAACTTTCAAAAGTCTCCTCTTCGTATGAACTTAGAAAACTGCAAGAAAACATGGTAGTTTCGGTGCCTATACGGTCAAAAATTTCGGTTTAATTTTTACACCGCGCTGGGACTACTGCCTTTTTTAATCTTTTATAGTCCACTTTTTAAACCATTCAATAGTTTTAAGCAATTTTTAATATATTGTGGTTTGAATTTTAGTCCAAAAAGCTCGTGGATTAAAAATCAAACCAAAATGTTTTAATTCTAGTTTCTAGGTT